TGTAGCCATGGATACCAGGAGCACCTGGCAGCTGGGGGCACTAAACAGTGTAACAAGATGTTTATCAGAGTGCGCTCAGCTATTGCAGGCTGTTGAAACAAGTCTCTTGTCAGGGTATATGGCTCGAGATGGCTGTAAAGATGATAGCCACTTTCGGCTAAGAGTTGGCTCCCAACAAACATTGTCGAGGATATGTCCTTGTTATATGTTGGAGCATCTTCTGGGTATATGCCCAGGAGTGGTATAGCTGGGTCCTCAGGTAACACTATGTTCAATTTTCTGGGGAACCTCCAGACTGATTTCCAGAGTGGTTACACCATCTTACAGTCCCACCAACAATGGAGGAGTGTTCCTCTTTCTCCATATCCTTGCCAGCATCTACTGTCACCTGAGTTTTTGATCTTAGAAATTCTGACTGGTGTCAGGTGGAATCTCAGGGTTGTTTTGATTTGCTTTTCCCTGATGACTAAGGATGTTGAACATTTCTTTAGGTGCTTCTCAGCCATTCGAGTTTCCTCAGCTGAGAATTCTTTGTTTAGCTCTGTACCCCATTTTTAATAGGGTTATTTGGTTGTCTGGAGTCTAATTTCTTGAATTCTTTGTATATATTGGATATTAGCCCTCTGTTAGATGTAGGATTGGTAAAGATCTTTTCCCAATCAGTTGGTTGCCATTTTGTCACTACTGAGAGTGTCCTTCACCTTACAGAAGCTTTGCGATTTTATGAGGTATCATTTGTCAATTCTTGATCTTAGAGCATAAGCCATTGGTGTTCTGTTCAGGAACTTTTGCCTTGTGCCTAGGTATTTGAGGGTCTTCCCCACCTTCTCTTCTATTAGTTTCAGTGTATCTGGTTTTATGTGAAGGTCCTTTATCCACTTGGACTTGAGCTTTGTACAAGGAGATAAGGATGGATCAATTTGCATTCTTCTACATGCTGATCTCCATTTAAACCAGTACCATTTGTTGAAGATGCTGTCCTTTTTCCACTTGATGGCTTTTAGCTCCTTTGGCAAAGATTAAGTGACCATAGGTGTATGGGTTCATTTCTGGGTCTTCAATTCTATTTCATTGATCTTCCTACCTGTCTCTGTACCAATACCAT